CATGCATCTTTTTTTTAAAAAAAAAAAAATCAAGGTCACATTATTGCGTATGTATGGATTACATCTTGCAATGAAACTCCCCCTATAAATTCAGTTGTTTATTGTGATGTATGCATTACATCTTCATCACAAAAAAAAATAATAATAAAAAAATAAAAATCTGTACACGAAATGGATAATAATCCATATAGATCCTACCCAAATATGTCAAACTCATCGGAGGATGACAGTCCGTCTTTCGTAAATTCACGGTACACACGAAATATGCAATTTTCTCAATTTCCTAGAATGCAACTACAACTCCAGTTTCGAAATTTTCCTTTTCAAGTACATGCACCAATGTCTTCTTATCCAAATTCACAAACTTTAGAGCAACCTTCTTTTCCCCCATCACCAAATTTAATGACCATGAATCAATCTCAGTATATGTGGTCAATGCCGCCGCAATATGGCATTCCGAATGCATTCGGGATACCTTGTCAACAAGGAAATTTTATGCTGACTGGATTTTCTAGTAGCACCATTGAAGTCCCAAGACCTTCCATGATCCTGGAGGTTGAAGGACTCGAGAACATTTGCCTCGACACGGATTCAAAAAAAACCAAAGAAGTTGAGCCTAAAAGACGGGGTAAAGCGACAGCAATACCGTGGACACATGATGAGGATGTTTTACTATGTCGAGCTTTCTGTACCATCTCAAGTGATCCGGTCATTGGCGCTCAACAAACGTTCGAAGGTTTTTGGAGGCGAATTATACAATATTATAACGAAGTTGGTGAAGCATAAACCTCATTCGGAGAACTTTGGAGTCAGCAAAATCTCATTTTTATACTTTTCATGGAGACTGCCTCAAATTTAATGTGTCAATAAACAGGTTTCGGGTTGATCAAAGAAGTGGTGAAAATGATGAAATTATTTTGCAAAATGCACTAATGGAGTGGAATAGCGAGGGGAAAAAGAAAGGGGGCTTCAAAAGACTTCATTGCTGGGAGGTAATGAAAAATAATGCCAAATTTGATGGGGCATCTCAGACATCCCGAAGAGGAAAGAAAGCTAGAATATTTGATACTGGAGATCACACTTCTGGCTCTGGGCAAGATGTCGACCTAGTGGTGATGGCGTGGACAGATTTGTGCATCGACCAATTGGCAAAAAAGCAGCAAAGGCTGGGAAGAGAAAGGGAAAAACAATTGCAGGAGGAAGCACCAGTCCAGATGTTGAACGTTTTTTGGCTAAGATTGGTCAGGTTAAAGAAATTCATCAGAAGAAACAAAAAGATTTGGAAAAGCTAGTTCGTATAGAGTCATGGAAGACGTACAGAGAAATGATAAAGGAGGATACTTCAACCATGACAGAAGAAGAATTGCAAGCCCACCAGGGACTTCTTGCCGTGCTTAAAGAAGAGTTGGGTCTCAACTGATTTCTTATGTTGTTTGGTGTTTTTATCGTTCTATAATTTAAATGTTATGCATTGTTTATCTAAGTTATTACGTATTGTGTTTAATCTTATGAGTGTAAGCAATGTTTGTTGGTGTTTGGTCTATTTTTTCTTAAAAAAAAAAAAAAAAAATAAACTCGTTTTTTTCACTTGTTTTTTTAACAACACATCTAACTCGTTGTTATACCATAAAATTAAATCAATTTAGTTTCAGAGACTAAAATAATGTCAGTTTTATTTCGCCAAAAATAACATAGTATATTACTAGGCGGTACA